TGTAGAAGGAAAAGAGGAGGGCATCAGGAGTGAAGCCCATTGGGATCCCCAAAGAAAACTGAACTGGAGATGTAGAGGATCATACAAATGAAATGTTAATCGAGTTATGGGAGGGTCAGGAGGGAAAACTACATCTTTTTAGCCAGTTCTTTTGTGCAGTTAATGTTTTGCAGGACTATTTCTGTGCCATATTTCCTGCCATTTTCTTTCTCATGTGGCTTTTAATTGGGCTGGTTTTTATTTCAAAACAACCTTACCCTGGTTTAATTTTTTTATTCTGGCTTAATAGATCCTAAAAATAAGCAGACATCCTTATTTCCCCTTCTTAGTTTTAACTCTGGAAATTCGAAGGCTTCATTGTATACACTGTTCTTCTTAGGCTTTAATTCAGCTTCTCCACTTGTGCAAAGGACCTTCAGAAGAGGAGTGGATATGTGTTCCCCTTCCTATTACCCATGGGAGTGCATTATACAATGAAGCCTTTCCATGGACATTGGAATAAAACTGCTGCTCTGCTCCATTGCCTCTATGTGGCTTTCAAGCCACCAGCTCAAAATAATGCATCTCATCCCTGGTCCCTAACAAGCTCTGCAAGTTGGTGATTTTGAGACCATTCTAGCTTCCCTCTCTGCACAAAGGGGAGGTGCAGATAACTCAGCAGTTGTTGCGCTTGCACCCCTTCCAGCCCACCACCATAATGGGCACCAGTACACATACCAGACATCTGCTCCAGTGCATGCTAATTAGCACACTTCAGCAGCCTCCATGTCACATGTATTCAGCATACAAAGTGCCCCCACCACCCACTTCAAAATGGTGGTGGGGGCACTTTAACTAAAGCTCATCAAATGAGTTTTAGTTAAAGCGCCTTTGCCACCATTTTCAAGCTTGGGACGCTGAATACATGTGGTGTTGCAGAACTTTAGAGTGGCTCTTGCAGCTACTCTAATTAAAACACCCCTCCTCCCCCTCACCCTAGAACACATGTAAAGATGCCTTGGGATTACGTTCAGTTTAAATAGTGTGGAGCCCACTGTGCTTCACTTCCCACAAGGAGGGACTTGTCACGCTAAAACTTAGATATCCTATATCAGCCAGTTAAACTATGCCATTCTGCTACTACTAGCATTACAGCATAACTAGAAACTGAAAAATAGCTAAGGGAAAAGCTGCCAGACTAAAAGTCATAAGGCAAATTGCCGTTTGTCTGTACAGAGATGATATTTGGTTCTTGGGGTTCTAATTTTTTTTTAATTTCTATATTTCTGTGTTTTTCTCCTACCCCTTCCCCTCTCCTTTATTTTATGAGTAATGATGCTTTAGCTATTATTAATATAAGCAGTGTCATGGGTGCCAGAAGGCCACTGACATGAGGGAAGGTTTCAGAGTTAGGCCCACAATTTCTGCATTGGTGCCAGGGTTGTGTGGAGTGGTCATTCGGAATAGAGAGAGAGGAGGGGACCTGAGGAGGAGAAGGGGAAGGGTGGAAGAACATAAGGGAATAAAAGGCAGCAAAAAGAACCATACTTTGCAACCTACTTATTTTCAGTTTTAAAAGCTATGTTCCTTTTCTGCACACAGTTATGAGAAGAGCTCAGAAGTAGTTTGCATTCATGCATCATTCAGCTTCAGTGGTATTAACCTGCAGTTAGCACCGCTGTTGCTTTAGTTTTGCAGGTTGTTATGATTCAGAATATACTAACTAATGGATTTGGGAATTTAGCCATAAAAAGTAAATGTTAAGGTATTCAGTTATTATTATACAGTTTAAAAATATTGCGCTGGATGGCTAAGCAGTTACTAAGACAACCAGGGAGGGTTTGCCAAGGATTTTTAAACAGTGTAAGCAAAAATAAGAAACCTTAGGTTTAAATAGCCCATCTGGCCTTCATAGGCTTTTCCCCAGAGAGCTGCTCTAACTTCTGCCACATATATTGTGCCCTGATGATAGACATAGCCCATGGCAAAGAGTCTGATCAAGGAAAGCAAATGGACTTCTGTAGAAAATACACAGGGGAGGACAGCATCCTGCCTGTTGTAGAAGTACTGGAGAAAAAGTTTTGCACATGGGAGCTGCATACTAGTCCCAGCAGGTTCCAGCATTCTTCGTACGCTGACTGAGATTCCGAGCTTTAATGTGGGTCCTTGTTCTCTGCAAAAGAGACCTTTGACCTGCAATTTACAGCTTTTATCACGTTTAACTTTACATAGTTGGGCAACTTGGTGCAGTAAGCCTGTGCATTTCATAGTTTCATATTTTTGTGTTTGTTCAGCTAATTCAGGAACAACAGGCTCTTTGCCAGGGCACAACTGATTTAAAAATGTGGCAAAATTGATGTATTTTTAAAACAACTCTAGGCTAGTAGCCCTGGGTGGCCCACACAGCAGTTTCTGAGAAACCTGTTTCATGTTTGTTACGGTCTGTGAGACCCCCACCCCTCCTCTGTAGGAGCCAATGCTGACCATAAGATGAAAGAGAGAAGGGTTTTCTTTATTTTTTAGTGATAAGTTGTCTGGGGTGTAATTACTTTTTTCATTTGCTCTTGTAAATTATCTGTCAGTGCATATTGTGAAAAGATAATGCACTAGCCCCCAAACAGAACTTTTGAAATGTAAGAGGCTCTAGAATAGTTTGTGTAACATACCTATAATGCACACGCATTACTTCTGCAACACTGGAAATGTTAAGAAACCAAACAGATCCATATTAACATATTTTCTCTAACTGTGACGTTCATGGCAATAAAAGCATTTATAAGACTTCATCTCTTGAAAATATTATACCCCTGGGCACTGGCTCTATCACTGGTGATAACATAGAAAGTAGTGTCCATCTGCCTATTTAAAATTAAATTTAAACCCTGCTATTTTTTCTCATTAGTTTCATTTCTTTGTATGCTTTGCTACATTTGGATACAGCCTCTTCTGCTGAGGCAGTCTGATTTAGCTCCCAGGATTATGAGCATCTATCAACAACTGCACAGTCCCAGCAGTGACAGTGGCAAGTTACAGAGGTGTATAAGAGAGACTCTAAATGTTTTTTGTGGTTACTTTCTCTTGCATCAAGTTTAAATGTTCCTTTCATACATGATGCTGTAGGACAGACCCTGCACTCACGGCCGCTCCCACCCCCAAGGCCTTTGGCAGCTATGGGGCATACACATTTTAGTTACTTCCATAATTTAGTTATTTTAATATATGTTTACCCCAGGATTTGTAAGACTTACATTATTTCTGACATGCTTTAAAAATAGAGAGAAAAGGAGGGAATAGTAACTGTATGAGCCTTAAAGGATGTACTAAGCACTGCACACCATATTTCTTTAAATTAATATAATTTTAGGATGTGTGAAAGGTGTGGATTTCTGAAGCCTGGAATAACTTTGAAGAACTTTAAAACTATTTTTATTTTACGCTGTCTCTTTAATCAAAACCTGGCTGTCCTGGTGCGGTTTCTCTCCTACTTAAGGCACAGAATTACAGGTGGCTCAATCTACTGCACTAAAAATACTCGCAAGCTTGAGGGCACTGTGGCCTTAACCTCACTTTATCTAGAGACTTCTGTTTAGTCGTGACAGGGAGCAATAAAGAAATGCGCCGTGCTTTTTATCTGTTTTGATTTCTCACCTTATCTCCTTTGCTTAGCCCTCGGCATCTTCCCTGGGCTGAAGTTTATCTTTAATTGTTATTACTGAAAACTGAACCGAAGAAGGGGAGGCTGTAAACAAACAATACATGTTAATATGGCCTATCCCTGCACACTCACTCCCCCAGCCTCAGTACGACTGCAAGAGTTCTGTCACTTTACAAGCTTTCTGCAGCTCCCCCAGTTTCACTCTCTGCATCCATATGTCTCACTTCATAGCTATGTTGCTCCTGGGTATATAACCAATGATGGCAGGGCAGCTGGAAGGGGGTTGCTGCCCTTTTGGAAGCTCTGCACCTCCGATCAGACATTAGAGAGAGACCCATCTGTCCATTCTGTGGAGAGGGAGTAGTTTGGTCTCCACTGTCATTCAGTCTGGCCTCTCTGCTGATAAACCATGCAATTTTGTGGTGTCTGTAAGTGTCATAGCCAGTATCCCCTGCTTAAAAAAAATAAGTGTACTGCCCAAGGCTGTTTATTATCAATTAGAGAATCATAATGGTTCTCACAATTGTACAAGCTTGTAGGCTCTTTAGAGGAGCGGTGTCAAAGATTTGGCCTGCACACCCCTATGATCCATCCCACAGTACTGCCTGTGGGTTTCAGACCGGTCTTGTATGTCTCATGCAGCATATGTCTTGCACTGGTGCTAGGGGCTGCATGCATCATTCAGCCCAGCTCCAGCCCTATGAGCCATATTGGACTGTCCCTGAGTGCTGCACACAGGATGTGCTGCATGTGGTACCTGTATCAGACTGTCTCTGCATGCTGGATCTGGCTCATGGGGCCAGTCTGTGGGCCCAGTTCAGCCCATGAACTGATTTTTGCCCCTCATCCAGCCCACAGATCTAGATGATTAGATACCCTTACTTTAGAGCATGGGCTTAGTTTTTCTTTGTAAATGTAAAACATGGTGAAAAATGTCACTACTCAGGGTCCCATATAGGCTGATTCTCAGATTTGCTAAGACCCAGTCTTCCTGAGGACCTCATTGGATGTTTTGAGTGTTTAGCACATATAAGGAAAAACAGTAAGTCAAATTTTCATATCATTAAATACATGGGATCTTGTATCTTGAGCATGATGGGCATTATAGAAAGTCAAGCCTGAGAACTCTATATTCTTTCCTGAGAATGTTCCATGAGACCAGTTTTTCTTTTACATAATTGCATAATAAAATATAGGGCACAGACGCAATGAATTATCACTTTATCTGTATTAACACACTACACTATTGATGATAACAAAAGTGCTTGACATATGGGAAATATTATAAATGTGCCATGTTCTTATATCATCTTATGACGGGAATGATTTTCAGTTTTAATTCACATAATTTTTCATTCCATTTCAGGTAGCAGTTTTACAACATCATCAGGAATATATGCAGGAAATAATTCACTTACAAATTCAACTGGATTTAATAGTTCACAGCAGGTAAATTTGTAATTATAATTAAATGAAAGTTTGGCAAAACTGTATTTCAAGCAAACAAGTCACGCAATGATTCCCCTCTGTTACCTTTAAAAAAACTATATGTTGACATTTTTCAGTAGCTTTTGCTAAGAAGATAGTATTTCAAGATAGCAGTATTTCAAGTTTTTAAGATTTAACTGAAATGTATTTCTGCCTTTTTTTCCATAAAAGAACTGCATGAATATTTTTGTTTATTTGTACAGTGGCAACAATCTATCTAATAATCTTCTGTTTTTTCAAGACAATATAATTGAAGTATGTAATATTTAGGTTTCCTTTTACCACTTCATGTTTGTCTCCTCTACTATGAATCATCTAGAGAAGACAGGGGAACTCAGACATGTGTTTGCACTTACATTTTGGAATGTATACTAAAAAGTAGCAAAAGCTTGATAAAACACTCTGTTGCCTTTTTTGTCCGGTAGGAATATCCATCTTATCCCAGTTTTGGCCAGGGTCAGTATGCACAGTATTATAACAGTTCACCGTATCCTTCACATTATATGACAAGCAGTAACTCCAGCCCAACGACACCCTCCACAAATGCAACATACCAGCTTCAAGAACCACCATCTGGCGTCACCAGTCAAGCAGTTACAGATCCTGCCGCAGGTAATTACATGGATTTTATGATCCCAATGGGGCACATTTTGAAAGTTGAAAGGGTTTTTGGAGGCGGTTTTTTGTTTGCCTTTTTTTTTTTTTGAGGATTTTTAAAAATCCTGTCTGTATTGTACCTCTTGCACAGATTCCAATAGAGTATACACTAAGAAAAATCAAAACAATGAATATTTAATTAAGATGGTCATGGTTTATTTTATTTATTTACAATAATACTAATAATTTGTTTAAAGCAATTATGGGACATGTAGTAGCCATTGCACTGGGCCAACTTCTGAAGCTGTTATATGCTTTCTGTTTACTTAAACTAGTGTACTTAATTTTGCCTGAATAGAGACTGAGTAGAAACCAGGGATGATAGTCAGCATTTAGCCTAACTGTACACTTTGAAAAATTACCTTTATACTATGCAAATAACAGTCAGAGCACAGAATACTGTTTGTAATAGGCAGTTAAAAGCACAAAATTGTTACTATTTTTGGAAAAATGGAAATTGTCTCCCCCTCCCATTATTCATTTTACCTTTCTGAATGAAATTTGCCTTCTTTTTTCTAGTCAAAGAGAATTTTTTAAGAGTGTCAGCCAGATTTGCATGTAGTTTTTTATGCAAAGGATTAAAAAACCCAAACTTTTCCCATCATTAAAAAATACATTTAACAACTCAAATGCGCCCATAGTTAGTAGATGGCAAAAACTTGGAATTTGTCAGGGAGAAAGTCCAGCGGTTGCAGATGTACTTCTCAGTTCTGTAGTAAAAAAGAGAGAGAGAAAGAAAAAGAAACAGTTATGATTTGGCAACGTAGTAAGAGTTTCAAAAATGTACTTTGCACATGCACAATGGATTTTGTAATGTGATCTGTTAAAATGATCTGCCAACATTCTGTTGGTTTTGTGCAAAAGTGCATAGCTGAAGAAACTTTAGGCCATTCTAGGTCTTCTGGTTTGGTCAATGAAGTTGCATGGGACTCTTTCTTTATAATGCATGTGAACATGTGTCCAAGTCACCAGAATTAATCTATTTTCACTCAGTGTTCTAGGTCTTTTTAATGCTGCCCTTTCAGTAAGATGCTGAGTAGCAGTGAATTCCTCTTACTTCAAATAAACAAATGTAGTTTCAAGTTGTTATTTTTATCAAAATGTATATTCTGTACCAGCTTCTGAGAGAATAACATTATCTAGCTTTTAAAAATTTTTGCAAACCACTTTTTGTTTAATTTCTTTGGAAAAATCAAAATATTTGTTGCTTTCCTTTTTAAAGATATGTTGAAAATAAGAAGGAATTTGTGAATCAGTCAAAGGATGGCATAATATTTAAATACTATCTCAGATGCCATTCCTCTACAAGTCTTGAGCACGGTATTTGTAATACATAAAAAACAATATCTGGGGAAACCCTCCTTGAAGTGATGAAATGTGTGAAGTGGTATAAGGTTTGTACAAAACGCTAATAGTTGGTATAGTTTTCTTTCTCTCAGGATGCTGTGTGTTTTGTACCCAGCCCCCTTTTCTGGTTCACTTCTATTTTGCAAGTTCGAATCCAGGCCTGTGATTGTATTTGTTGCCAGCCCTATAATGTCTCCATTTGTACATATTCTTGTTTTGTTTGCAAGAATGTTCTCCTACTCTCATATGCTAAATTGAAAGGAGAAGCTTCACCCTTGTATTTTCAATTGAATAGTTATGGACAAGTATGCTATTTATCCTAATTGTCTGTACAGAGGAATAAAATGTCTGAAATAACTTCTTTATTCCTTGTGCTGGCTACCTCTGTCATAGACTGCAGTGCAAAAAGGAGACCAGCGTCTTCAAGGCCAGTTATCCCCTCACCTCGCAGGAGCAGAACATGAACAAAGCCTTGTTTCTGTGCTGTCTAGTACTGCTGAAATGGCATAGAATAGACACAGAGGGTATGTCTACACAAGACTCTTTACTGCACATTAGACTAATCTAATGCATAGTAAAGCATCACTGAATACGTGTGTACAGCAATTACTGCATAGTAGATTACTCTAATCTACTGTTTTCTAGTACCTGTATATACAGGTACTAGAAATCAGTGCATTAAACTAAGGCACCAATGGACATGTGTAGATGCTGACTGGGAGCATATTGCTCCCAGTCACCCTAGGCAGCAGAGCACCAGAGTGGGTGGCTAGGCAGGATGTCCCAGCTGGGCAGGTTGCTGCCTCCTAGCCACATGGAGATCAGGATGGTTCCTGATCTCCACATGGCTGGGAGAACTGTCCTGGGTGCCGGGCAGCTGATTCCCACCACATGCAGATTGGGACCCGTCCTGATCTCCACATGGTTGGGAAAGCCGATTTTCCACGTGGTGGGAAGCACTGCCCAGTAGCAGGGACAGCTGTCCTAGCCACATGGAAACTGTGGCTTGTCTGGATTTCCATGTGTTGGAGGCAGGTGCTTCCCACCTCTCCCAGCCATGTGGCAATTGGAATGCATCCCAATCTCCATGTGGCTAGTAGGCAGATGCCACACAGCCGGGACAGCTCTTCCCTGCCCATGGAGATTGGGACCAGCCCCCATTGCCAACCCCCTGGAGGGTCTGGAGATGCCTCTTGCTGCTGCAGGAAGACAGAGCAGGGCAGGAGCAGCCATGGACTGAACTGCTCCCATCAGGAGCACATACGCTCTCAACAGGCCCACATTCAGATGTGAGTGGGACTGCAGCTTCACATGCTTGAATTTTATGCACAGAAAATTCAGGCACATTAATTGCATGTGTAGATGTGCCCAATTTGTACCATCCTGTGCAGATCCCTCCTTTGTCCCTCCTTTGGCATGAATCTGAGCCACATCACAGCCTACTTCCTGGTCTGTTCTTAGAGCAGTACAAATTTATTTTCCTTATTCTGGGCTTGTTGCAAAGCTTCAACTGAGACCCTATAGTTTTTCAAATATGGTTCATTTTTCAAATAGTTTCCAAGGGCTGATGGTAGACAAATACACTTTTTAGCTATTTTAAAAGGAGAGGGGGAGCTGCTTCTTGGGAGCACACATCAGTTGTTAAGATCTCACTGCATGCTACTGTAAGTGGTTCAGGTTAGTTAAATCACTAACTTCAACACTGAAGGAAACAGGGCTAAAGTTGGCAATGGGTTTGATACCTTTGTTTTGCTACAGAAACTTGCAGAGGTTACAACAGCTTATATCAGTATCATTTGTTATCCATGTACCCCATATGTCTGTCTGTACCCAAAGCTCTCCAGACAGCATTGTAAAGGTGTGGTCCCGGTTCTGAAGAGCTTACGGTCCAAGCTCTGGGTCTTGCAAACACGTAGGTGCTTGATTTTACTCCCACAAGTAATGCCTTTAGAGGTGAAGGAATTACTCACATGGGTAAAATTAAATGTTCGCAGAAGAGTTACAGTCACAAGTATAGGCTTAATTACTTATGGAAACATCTTTTTGTTTCTGTTGTATGTTGAATATGGAATTAGGGGGAGCTGGAGTGAACAGAAAGAAAGAAGTACGTCTTGCTCCAATAACATGGTTCAAAGGAGAAGTGGTGGAATGAGGGCAATGAAAAGGAATTAAGCGAGAGGTGGCAAAATCTGAGGTTAGGAAGGATCTGGAAGATGGAAGTAGGTGGCTGGACAGGTACATAGCAAAATAGGATAAATTGGCCAAGGCAAAATTGGACCAAAGGCAAATAAATTCACCAAAACTTAACCATGAGGAGACCTAGTGGAACATTTTTGTTGACAATATTTAACATTCTGTCAAATAGCAGGATCGGGTTAAGGATTCTCCCTTTTAGTCCTGCCGTTTTGTAACACCAGTTGTTTCCCAGTGTGGATTGAGTGTCTTGCTGGCATGGAATTCACACGTGAGGCTCATATACCCACTTCTCCAATGGAGTTAATGGGAAGGAGTCTGCCTACTGCATCCCAAAAGTTACAATTGGCATACATTCCAGTAATACATTTTTCCTCTGCAGTTGTACACTCTGCCACAGCCACATCAAACTGATTCTAGAATCAGGGAGCTGCTAACAACTTTGATTTTTAATGGTTCAGTTTTAATCCCCAGCTATACCTAGTAAACATCAGAGATGCCTGGACCTGTAAGTGTAGCACAGTAGTCATTAAAGAATATATGGAAAGATATGAGTTCCATTTTAAATCTTAAAATAATTATTTTCTCATTTATTATATATGTTTTTAGATCCCAAAGTTTAAATAGTGCATTTAGCAATTGAAACTCTGTTTTTTCTGAATGGAATCTGACTTATTAAAGCCTGCCAGATAGATATCCAGCTAGCCTTCACACCATGATCCAAGAGATTTGCTCTGTCTTCCTAAAGCCTTTGTGTAGAACTGTCGGGATCTCTCTAAACTTGCTTAGTGAACGTCTTCATTCCTTTTCCATCTTGGAAAGAGGCATGGCTTCGAAAATTTGTGTGCTTGAAGATTGTGTGGAGAAACAGACAAAAGAATACAAATTGAGAAGTCTTGTATTGGGAGGTTTAAAATTCCGTTCAGGATCAGCGTTTCTGATTGCACATCTTTGAAGATGTTTAGTTAAATGAAACCCAGATTCTGTAATGTGCCAGGTCCCATAATATGAAAGGATATTGTAGTGGATTTTATCTCCCACAGATTCAGCTAGGTAAATAAACTGTGTTATTTACTTTCCTAATTAACAGAACGTACACTACCATTTAACTGAAAGCAAAGAGCATGCTTTGATGAAAAGCTCACATTACTTATTTTAAATTTTGAATGTAAAAATACTTTATTTTCACTGATAGCCTTCTAACTTGTGGTTTACAATGCAAAATGCTTTTCTTTGAGGTATCAGTGTCACACTGATTGTTAAGTTGTTTCCTTTCTGTGAGATTTGAGTTTTTATATATCAGCATATTTTGAAACTACTGAAGTGTGAACAACATGTTGCTAGGTTTAAGAAGAATCTTAGAAGCTTAAAACAAATCATTACTAAAGCAAGAGAATGTAAAAGAATTGATCTTA